TTAAAAGATCAAATCAAAATGTTAGCGTTTGTTCGTTTTGATTTTTAATTAATCTTTTAGCTATAACATTTACTCCTGATGAATTCTCTGGATCATGATGCCTTTTTAATGGCAGGTCCCAGTTCTGTGAGCAGAGTTACAGAACATCATAATGAAATTAGCTTGGCCTCTCTGAAGGTTTGTAATGGTATGCTTAGGACATTTGCCTTACAGTAATGGAATGCTACCTTTAATTAAACCATTTGCCTATGCCATGAGTACTTTATTCATAGCTAAACTGAACTAGATTCTGGTCTTGAGCAAATGATGAGAAAGATGTTCAAACTTTTGTGTCACAAGTGAATATGTGTACCTGTGAAAAGATAGAAGTTAATCCTGTTCTATGTCAGAATTCCTTTGCATTTTGTTAGTAGTCCTGATAACAATTATAATGGTCATGAAACGTATAATAATGGGTGTAACCAAGACATACTGCAGAAGTGATACATTGCCCAGTTTGAATAAAAAGTTAGAGGTACCTACTTTTCTACTTTTTAAAAATGCTATGGAATGTATAAATTTATAAGTCAGCATTGAAAAATTTGCATGTTGCTGAACAGAAGTAGTAACTTTGCTTGAAATTTTTTAATATTATATATTAAAAATGAGATCCAAACTAACTGGTAATTTGCTAAAGGGTGTTAGAGATAAAAAATTATTTTTATTTATTATTTGATATTGCTTTAAAGAGGTTTGCAAGATAGGTAGAGGTATCAGAAGAAAGCCAGTTTGCTGACCGCTAGTATGATTCATGGGGTATAAGTTGCCTTGGTCTAGGTAAAGACTTCCCAGTGTGGACACTCAGTTTTATCAGTTCTCAGAAAGGATGAGAGTTAGGGACATTGCTGGTTTACATTAACCCAAATCAGAAAGACTAATTCAGATATGCCTGTTATATAAACCGAACTTCTTGTTGGATGGACCAACACTCTCTCTGCTTTTGGAAGACATTTATGAGAAACCAAATTATAATCCAGGACTTTTTTGTTACCGATGAATTAGGACATGGATCAGATATTTAATGACATCAGGATCAGTTACTTGAAGTGTTCTTCAGAATTAGAATATACTTGCCCTCAATGCTAGATGAATTGACTTTGTGGACCAGCGCATACTTTTCCGTGGGTGGTGGTAGATACCAACTGCCAGATTATAGTCTTTCTGGTTTTGTGGAATAGGAAGATATCTTTTTTCCTAGTATATTCATTCTTTTCTTTAGATACGATGTCCTTTGCATACATATTTCTGATTTGATATGCGCTACATACCACTTTCGCAATTCAGTGAGTTTCAAGAATGATTTGCTGTCACTTATGCCTACACCAAAGCAATCATATTAATTAGACTGTCTTATACAGTTGTTAAATTAGGGTTTTTCACCGTCAAGTCCTACCTTAAAGTATGTTATTGCCTTGAGACTTCAGATCAGCCTACAAATAGCCTTTTAAAAAACTGCGTTTTCTAAAACTCTTTTAAAAAACTAATATTGTCATTTTTACATTTTTTTTTTACTTGCTTCTAAAATCTTTTGGCAAAGGATGTATATTTGGCTGTCTAAAGCAAAAATACAGCTCTGTCACAGACTAAAAATTTTTCAACAGTCAAAATAAAAAAGACCAGTGGAGCATACTGCTTTTGTAAAGGCCAGTTCCATCAGTCTTACCTACACTGGGCTGATACCAACTTTTTAAAGTAATATTTTATTATTTTTATTTCAGTTCTTTGTGAATTTATTAATTAATATGAACAGATAAAGGCAAAATTTCTTTCGCTAGCCTTAATAGTGTGCCTCAGAGAAGTCAAACTATAAACTAGTATGGTTTGGGTTCTGTTAACATGCTTTATTCAGAAGCTTTTTGTCACTATTTGACTTTTTTGGCTCTTTAAACCTTTATCTATTTCTTTTCTACTATATATTCTTGTCATTCCTCTCTAAATCCTCTCCCTTCACAAAATGTCTTTTTATTCCCTCAACATTGTCTTTCTGTCTGTGTCTTAATAACCACTAAATAATACTGATTACAGAGTTTGCATAAGGTAAGGTTGAATGATAACCTGTCTCTGTTAGACTGAGTCATTCATTGGTCCTAATGGAGCTCACTGAGACAGCTATACCTCATCTTTCAAGTGATATTCACATCTCTGCTCCCTTGGATATCTTTTCTGAGGAGCATAGCTGTTTACAACCTACTCTCAAACTTTAGAGTGCACTGTGATTTATTTTAGGGCCAGTGATAAGAGATCATCGATTTTCTTATTTATCTACAGTACCAAAATATAGGTCACTCTGTAACTTATTTTGATGGTTTCACTAAAAAGCAGTTTTTAAAAATAATTCTTTTAATGCTTAATATGTGATTCTTCTGTGTCTCTTGTGTCGGTTATTGGGCATCATAAAAATTTTGAAATATGAAATTGACACTATAAGGATCATCTTTTGAATTTGGAAATGGTCTTTTGCTATTGTTCAGGATTTTAATTCAACTCTTGTATAAAGCAACAGGTATATCTTTTAAGTTTTAAATTACACATGTATATTCTCAAAATTTTTATAATTTCCTAATACTTAGCATAAAAATTTCATTTTAGTAACTTCAGCTATCAAGAAATGACAAAGGTAGAAAAAAAATAGCAGATTTTATTCATTCAGTCCCTACCCAGAGCATTTTTGTGTAACTTTAAAGGACAAGAGTTTCTTCAGCTATTTAGCCCCAGGTAATTTCTAGCCATTTATAGATTTCCCTGGAGTTTTCTGGATACGAATCAGTGTTCTTTCTTATTATCGACCGTCTCTGGAGGGTCTGCTGGAGCAAAAGCAGCGGTGTCAGTCAAAGCTGTAGGCATATCTTCGCTTTTTAAACTAATACTTTTAAAATCCATTACTGCTGGGGTTTTAATGCTTTATTGTAAAGATTTTATTTAAGAATATGAAAATAAGGAAATCTTTATGTCATCCATTTTTTTACGTTATTATATCTATAAAGTTGCTCTGAGCCTTATTTTCCAATGACTTGATTTTTCCAGGCCCCAAATTCTCACCAGTCCGTCTCCTTCAAAATCCATTCCAATTCCACAGCCTTTCCGACCAGCAGATGAAGATCATCGAAATCAGTTTGGACAACGAGACCGGTCTTCGTCAGCTCCAAATGTGCATATAAACACAATAGAGCCTGTCAATATTGATGTAAGTATCCAACATTGTTAGAACTGAAAAAGTTCAAGTGTATTTCTTTATTTTTCTGCTACAATTATAATATAGATCAGAAATAAGTGCCATCTTTCATTTATCACAGTTATTATAAGTGATAGACTTTTATGAATTATAGATCAGAAAAGCCTTGTCATCTTCTCTGATAGCATTAAATACTTAACTGGTGCCAAATTAGAGTTATTCTGATTTTTTTTCCCTATAACATCATCTCTGTAAAAGTCTTCATTTATTTAACAGGTAATCCACTGGCCATTTTATGGTAAAGAAAAAATAAGAATGCAATCGCAGATCTTTACATCAATTTGAAATCTCTACCTAAATTTCTAAAAGTACAACGTTGAGTTAAATAAACCTTAAAGACTAATCATTACTTTATATATTTGACATGTAAAGCTACCTTTTATCTTTTTTACTTTCTTGATTATACCACTGTTCCATCTCTATACACATCTTGAATTTTGTGGGGGGTTTTTTTGTCATGTAAAGTTTGTCATTAGGTTTTAATCATTTTTTTAAATGTGTCTTCTCTGGTCTCATCATCACTTAATTCAATTTTAATCATTATTTATTATTCCAATAAACAAGATTTAATATCAACTCTGGGATAGATAGGCACTGTGTCAAAATTGAGAATTAAGGATGAATTAGCACACAGTCTTTGCCCTCAAGGAGGTCATGGTATAATGGATGAATCAGACATATATATAAATAATCACAAAAATATATAGTGATAGTTTATCGAAGCGGGTGATAAACTCTGCCTGGTTGGATCTAGGAATATTTAGTAGAGAAGGGACAACTTTTAACCCAGATTGTAAAAGATGAATGAGTAGGAGTTTATTAAGTACAGTAGTTGGTTGGGGCTTTAGGAAGGAAGGGCATTTGTTAAGAAAGTAGTATGTGTAAAAATACGGAAATATTTTTACATGGGATGTAATTAACGGTTGAAACTGTAGGAGGTTAGGATTCAGGAGAAGGGTAGGGAATGGTAGAAGACGAAACTAGGTAGGTAGAGTTCAACTGAAAGGCACTGTGTATTACTCTCAGGTCTCCATAGCAGCTGGTAGTGGGAAGTCTAAAACACTTTTGAGTGGGGGAGAAAGTGATCTCACCATATTTTAGAAAAATCTTTTGAATTAGTGAGAAGTTTGATAGGCAAGATTGTTAGGAATGATATTGAAAGTAGGCTACTACTTATGAATGCTTACTGTATGCCAGGTACTAAGTACTTTACATAAATTTCCTTATTCTGTCTTCATAAAGACTCGTGGGTTAAGTACTATTATTATTTTACTCTTAAGAAAATTAGGTTTAGAGTGGTTTAAGAAACTTGCCCAAGATCACACGGCGGATTAATGATTGAAATAGAGTAACACCTGGCCTTATGCTATATAATCAGTAATAGAGGAGAAAGAGACGAAAGGTAGAGGATAATGCCCATATTTTTCTGGTTTGGGCAGATAGATCATATTTATTCCATTCATTACGATAAGAAATACCAAAGAAAGTAGAGCAGAGTTTGTAGAAATGAAAATGATAACTTTTATTTTAGAGTTATTGACTTTAAGATGACTACGGGACTTCACTGGTTGAATATTAGAACCTCAAGTAGAAATACAGATGTCAGAATAATTAGCATGAATCAGGTAATGGGTATAAGTGATATTATTCAAAGAGTATATATTAATAAGTTGAAAAGAGAGTAAAAAAATGCAACCCCAGTAAACATTTGAGGTATAGGCAATGAAGAGAGAGGTTGAGGATGACAATTGAGAGAATAATTGAAGTAGTAAAGTTCCCTGAACTTGGAAGCAGTGTTCCTTAGAAGTTATGAGGATTTAAAGATAGGCATAGCTAGCAAGCTAGCTCTCCAGCTCTTCACAGGCAGTGCGACCTTGGGGAAATGACTTAACCTTGAGGCTAATGATATCTTTTTCTTGTAGTGATTTGAAAATGCTTATTAAGCCTGGCACATAATAAGAATTCAGAAATTATGGCTAATATTACTGCGCAAATATTTGTAGATATTAGGCAGGACAAAGTTCTTTGAATGCTTCTGTTTTCTCTATCATGCTAAAGAGAAGATACATAAATAAGGAAGGAACTATAGGAGATTGGGGGAAAGTTTGAAATAGCCAGTATTAGACTATTAGAAGATCCTGTTTAACCTAGAACAAGTAGAAAGATTGTCAAGAGATTGTGAGGAAGCTTTATTTTTATTTTTTTTTTTAAGAAGTAAAACTATTTTCAGATGACATCTTATATAGAAAACTCTAAAGAATCCACACACAAAAAAAACTATATTAAAGCTAATAAATGAATTCATATAGAAAACTCTAAAGAATCCACAAAAAAAAAAACTATATTAAAGCTAATAAATGAATTCAATGAGGTTTCGGGATACAAAAAATAGTTGTATTTCTATAAACTCTAGCAATAAACAATCTGAAAATGAAATTAAAAAACAACTCCATTTACAATAGCATTAAAAAGAAAATACTAAGGAATAAATTTAACAAAGAAGTGTTAACACTTGTACACTGAAAACTACAAAACATTGTTGAAAGAAGTTAAAAACGTAAATAAATTTTTAAAATCCTGAACATATTTGAGATAGAAAAATGAAAGCTTATGATGGTACTAGCAGTAAGTTATAAGAATGGAGAAAGCCAAATTTGACAGATCCATGGTTGTGGGGAGTTACAGGGCGGATGCAGCAAAAAGGAAAGAGATGTGGCATTTCTGCCTTTGTCTTCTGTTTTTTGGTTTTTTTTTCCCCCTGTCTAGAAGGTTCTCTGCTTTTCTTTTCTACATTCCTGTCTATTCCTCAAACCCCAATTCATAGCCCATCTCTTCAAATGCTTTACCAATGACCAAGTTCTATAGTTAGTTAGTTATCCTTTGAACTTGTATAGCACTAAGAATCTTTTCACCCATATCATTTATTTAGCAATTAACTAAGCAACTTTGGCACCTCTTTTATTGTTTTCTTAAGCTATTATTCTTTTATCATTCCGTTTTCATGTGTGTACATCTTACTCCCACTTAGATTATAAGCTCTCTAGAACTAAGAAAGTTAGTGAGACCACCAGTGTTTTGCATTTATTGGTAGCCACACAACCCCTAACGCCTAGCACTTTGTTTGCAAGTATATGAGTATTCGTTGATATTTTGTAGAAAATGTTGAAGGCTTTATATAATACATTGAACATGATAGAAATACATTTCTAAAGAATTCACTTTCTTTTAGCCTGTAAACAAAAAACCGCCTATTTGCAAAGATCCTGTGAACCTATTTAGAGACATTTGGGGCCATTCAATCCCTCACATTTAAGTTACACTAGGTAAACAAACTAATCTAAGTTCTGCCTATTAAGGTCCAAATTGCATTGCATTACCAGTAGACTTTTCCCCCTACCTCCAACATTATTGTAAAAACCTATAATTTAATAATAAAGCCTAACAAAACAAAAGCCTCGTTTGAGCCATTGTGTTTTTTCCCCTTCTAGTGTGTCCCTATTCATATTTTTATGATTGTAATCAGTGTACATTTAATTTTGTATTGTTTTTTTATTATATTGTAAACATCTTTCATGATTCAGTCTTCATAATTGTTTTAGTAGCTGCCATAATACTCATTAAATTGATACATTATAATTTACTTAGTCAATATGTCTAAATGCCTATAAGAGGGAAATAATTATTTCTGATTTTTTTAGTATGATGGATAATGCTGCACTAAACATCTTTGTGCATATCATTTTTTCTTCTGAATTATTTCCTTAGGAAAAATTCCCAGAAGTGGAATTACAGGATCAAAGGGTATGAACATTTTATGGCTCTTAATATGTGCCAGTAGAACTTTTTTTTAAGAATTGATACAGCCATTGGATTTGAATGGCCTGAAATGGATTTCAACATTTGATCAGGACTAATAATCCCTTCAATATAGGGTTAGGTTGGCAAGTGCTTCAAAATTTCGGTTTTATCATGTTCACTAGCTAATTTTATATACTTTCTGTTTTGTGAAGTAATTATAAGACAGTTATTATTTTGAATTAACCTTTCTGTTAATGCTTAGTGGAAGTGGAAAATTCAGTGTTGTTATTAGTTTCTTACCATAAGCTTTGAATAAAATGTACATTACTATTTATTTGTAGGACTTGATTAGAGACCAAGGGTTTCGTAGTGATGGAGGTAAGTGGTGATTTCAATTAAAAAAAAAAAAAGCTCAGAGAAAAATGCAACTGCTTTGCTGCTTGTCTCTTTTATATTTGCTTCTTTCATGAAACACAGACACAGAGAAAAATGTGTAGAGAAAACCCAAACTTTTTTGTTTTTCTTTAGTATTGATCATTTATCTCTAATAAAATTTTAACTAATTTATAACTTGAGTAGAGAAAAAGAGGGTACATAAAAAGGAATCTTAAATGTACCGTGTACAGTTTTAAATGGTTGCTATCAAAGAGAGATTCTTAGTTATTTTACCCACTTTACTGATTCCAGACCATCTTCAAAGCTGGAAATGTAGAATTTCCTTTGGAAACCTCCACTAGTACTTAAAGATTGAGCTTGGAATCCATTAAAACTTGGCTTTCATAAGTCATTCTTAGGGAGAATCCCTTGGACTGCCTGTTAAATATTGTCAACCACATCCCCTCAGCCTACTACAAGGGTTTGAAATGTACTTTTTAAAGAATGGACCTCCTACTAGAAAAGCCCAGTTGCCTTTTTTCAGTTCAGTAAATAAAATAAGCAAATGAGAAATTAAATTGAGATTTCTTACAGAATTTTCAGCTCATATTCACTCTAGTACCCAGTAAAAAAGGAGGACATAAGAAAACATTGATTAAGAAAATACTTTTTAAATAAGAATTTAGCCCCACATAATGTTTTCCAAGAGATGATATTTGAAACTGTCTTAAAGTTTTCTTCCAGGTGGTTCTCCATGCTCCCTTTTCAGCTGTCTTCTGTCTAATAAGGAAGACCTGCAATACTTGCTTATCTTACTTAGAGTTGGTCTTGTCCCTGTGACCTACTTTAACTTTAAAATACCTAAGCCCAGACTCAAGGATATTTTATATTGAATAAACATTGTATAAACCATCTTTTGTTATGTTTCTATGTACCTGTGAAGCTACCAAAATAATAACCCTGCATTATATATTTTGGACTTAGTATTTACTATAACACATAGTAATAAAAGTTTTCTGTTTGTTATTCCATGAACCCACCAATTAATGTTGCTGCTAGTTTGACTTTTCATATGTGTTAGTAGCTGTGGCTTTTGAAAATTTTGCCCAGTACATTCAGCATTTAAATGTTGCCATCATTTTAGCATCACAGAGTTAACTTAGTCATAATAACTGCCTGCTTAGTACCTAAAATGAAGTGGCATTTCTTTCCTTTTTTGATGAGTCACTTTTTAAAAAAATCATTGGGATTTTATGAAAGTAAGCAGTTTATAAAACATCCAGAATTATTTTGTGAAGCAGGCTTCGACTCATCTTATTTATTCCCCATGACTTCTTTCATTTCTTCTGTGTGTCTGTCTTCCTGTGTTTGCCTGCCCCTCTCTTTCTCTTCTAACAGCCCCTTTGAACCAGCTGATGCGCTGTCTTCGGAAATACCAATCCCGGACTCCCAGTCCCCTCCTACATTCTGTCCCCAGTGAAATAGTGTTTGATTTTGAGCCTGGCCCAGTGTTCAGAGGTAGTTGGGCTCTTCTTTCTTGTTTTCACCCAAAGCAAACTAAATATGAACTACAGATACTGTTTGTGCCTCACCCTCACAGCGTGTGTTTGTAAGTGTGAGAGTTTTCAGTACTAAATTTCTGCTTGGCCTGGCTGGAATGCTCTGAATGTGCTTCTCACACATACTCACTACCACAAGCTTTCTGTATGCTGTCTGTCATAAATTTTAAAAGCAAGAAAAATCTGTTATTTCCATCTTGTTTTTTGTTACATTAGTTACTTTTTGGTCTTGATAACTTCTTAAACTCAGTGGGTGGCAATAAATAATGTGTGTGGGAGGGGTTTTCCGGTTTGAATTTCTTTTATTTTCATCCATTTAGGTGATAACATTGATGACTTAATATTTGTTATCAAGTTTTGTGGGGGGTTTTTTTAAAGTAAAAATGGAAATGGAAATCCTTATTATGAGATTTTATACTAGACTTTTGGCTTTATTTTTTGTAATATCAGCAGTGTACTTTTTAAATGTAAGACGTATATTTTATATATTTTTTAATTATTTTGTATATTTTATATTATATCAAAGGTAGGGAGCTTTAAAGATGATTTTTAATATATTAGGGATATTGTAGCTTCCGAAAATTTGAAGATTAATATTTTCAGTTATGACCTAATATAAGGAAAAAGTTAGCAGTATAATTTTACTCTACCATTTTTCTTGCCATACTTTAATTAGTGGTTAAACTAATCTTTAAAATTTTAAGTCAAAATTGAAAGAAATGTTTTGCTATAAATATTTTTAAAGAATTATGTTTACTGGCTTTTGCTACTTAGTGTCTGTTACTTTTTCTGAATGTGTGGAGGTGGTTCAGATTTTTACTCTCAGCCCAACTGTTTCTCAGAAAATCCATAGAATGGGCTAGAAAATCATACAGTACTGAGTAATGTAATCAAAATAAATAATAGAATACAGTACTGAGTAGATCAGAATTGCAAAGTTAAGGCTTTATGGTGTTGAAAATTATTAATATGAAATGTAGAAAATGGAATGTGCTCTAGTTAATAGACATTCCAGATACCATTTTCTTTTAGAAAATTATACATGAGATCATGGGAATTCCACATGATAACATAGGTGATGTAGTAATGATAAAATTTCCACACAGATTTAACATTTAAATGTTGCCATTGGTATTCCTGTTCTTGGAAAGATAGTCACTCCCTCCCCCGCCAACCCCAAGTAGTAATCATTTTTTAAAAAATTCTCCTGGAGTCTTTTTGTTCCATAGATGCAAATATTATTTGACATCTCAGTCCTACTTAACTGTACGTAGGCCCCATTAGGACTCTTTGCCTTGAACCCTTCCGAACAAAGTCCTACTGTACATGAACTTAGAATCATTGCCACTGAGCCAGCATTTGGAAAAATACCCATCAGAAAGGCATGCAACCTTGCCAACTAAGTACTTTCAAAGAATGCACCCCTTGGGCTCACATGGCTGATAGAACATTTCCATTTGTAGAACCTTGGCTCAGAGGCCATATCACTTATTTCGCTCTCATTTTATAAAGGCAGGGATTTTTCAGAGTCCTGAGAAACTTGCATGGCTTTGTTTACATTAAAATTCTGCAGGCAACAGGTAATCTTTGTTTAGTAGAATAAGCCTCGAGGAAACAAGGAAACTGACCAGTATCTCTCACTCTTAGGTAGTGTAGAATGTGCTGTAGAATATTTGTTTAGTAGGTAATATTAAAAAGTGAGGTATTTTCAACATTAAGGTCATTGTTAGAATATATTTTCATTTGAGGATTTCCATCTTTTTTTATATTGATTGGCTGCTGAGTAACAAAATAAAAGTATATTTTTTATATGGGCTTTTAAATTGATTTTGCCTTTTGATTTTTTAAATTAAAGAAACAGAACCTTGGGAGTAATTTTTGGTTTTATCTCTTATTTTAGAGAGATTCTTTTAGAATATGTACCAATAAGCAAAGTGTGTATCTGTAATCAGATGTTTTAAAGGTCAGTGGCCAAAGAACTAAAAAAATTATAGTACTAATCACCAAACGAGGCCCCTTTTTGGCCTGTCCTTTTTAAAAGATCAATACTTGAACATTCACTGCATTTTTAAAATAAATCTAAATCAACCCCCACCCTCTGCCCCCAATAAATTAACATACTTGATCTTCCTTTAATGGATACATTTTTCCTTTCACTAACTTAGGATCAACCACAGGTTTGTCTGCCACCCCCCCTGCCTCATTACCTGGCTCACTCACTAATGTGAAAGCATTGCAGAAATCTCCAGGACCTCAGCGGGAACGGAAATCATCTTCTTCCTCAGAAGACAGGAATCGAATGGTGAGAGGATATAATATCTTTTTTCCTCTAAGTTCTTTCTGTATAGAAGTCATAGCCAAATGTAATGTCACCTTTTAGATATTTTGGTCATGTCCATATGTGACACAGAATTCCCATAATCAAATAAATTTAAGATCTGGTAATTTTTTGCTTGAAGCATATTCAAACAACACAGATTCTTGCTCTCAACTCTAATGTAATTGAGTAAAAGGCAGTTTGGGAAAAGTAAGAATACAGTAGACTCTTGAATAACACAGATCTGAACTGACTGGGTCTACTTACACATGGATGTTTTTCAATCAGTAGTCAGCCCTCCGTATTCCCGGGTTTCGCATCCATGATTCAGCCAGCGAGGATCGAACACAGTATTGGTTGTGAAACCAATCCCCAGTGGATACCACGGGACAATTAAGTTTTGGGGGAAATCAAAAATTATATGTGGATTTTCGACTCTGCAGGAGGTGGGGAGCTGGCACCCCTAAACCCCACATTGTTCAAGAGTCAACTGTAGTGTTCTGTTTTTAAAATAAGGGAAAAAGTAAGCTAATATTTTAGGAAGCATTATTAGGCATATATGTTGTAAAGGGTTGGTCCTAAATTCAAGTATCTACCAAATGACATACTTCACTATTTGAAAGAATAAGTTTCTGCTGCAAAAGAAATCTAAATTAAAAACTAATAATTTAATTTTAGCAATGTATACTAACAGTATATGTCAGATAGCTGGATCCTTTATACTACCGAAGTGATTGTGTATGTTGATAATTGTTTCGAGAGGCTGGATCAGATAAGATACTTGAGGAAATTTAACAATTTACTACTGGGAGAGTAAGTAGATAAATTAGCAGTTACCATAGTAAAAATAAGTTAACTTAAATTCTGGGCTTTTGGAATCAAAACTAGTCACAAATGTATAGTACTTATCTTGCCCCTAATAGTCCTCCAGATGATAAAAGGCTATTTTATTGATTTTAGTAATACATATTTCTGGTAATACCCAATAAATTTCTATTTTTTAATAAATTTTTTTATTCTAATACTAGCTTAGGTCTACAGTTTATGTTCTGTATTGTGAGAATCATACTTCTAATTATTATTCCTCCAGAGTATTTTTTTTTTTTCTTTAAAAGACCGTATTTCTTCCTAACATATGTCCCTTTCAGGCCTAAATGAATGTACTTAGTGTGAAACATAAAGTTTTCCTTTTTTATTTGCTTTGGCTTGACTTTGCACTATTTTTATCAAGAAAACACTTGGTAGACGGGATTCAAGTGATGATTGGGAGATTCCTGATGGGCAGATCACAGTGGGACAAAGAATTGGATCTGGGTCATTTGGGACAGTCTACAAAGGAAAGTGGCATGGTATGTATGTAGTACGATGACCTTGTCGCAAGTTATAGGAATAGGATATGTTTAATAGCTTTTATAAAAAAATGTTAGAGTATTCACTGTTGGCATTATTAAGCTTTTTTGATCATATTCAAGAGTCCTGCAAATGTTTCCAATAAATTATGGGAAATAAAAACTGGATTCATAACAACCAAGGCTCCTATCATTATATTAAAGAAATAATTTTTAAAGATGATGATGATTGTTCAGGTGAACTAGTCTCCAAGATATTTTTTTCCTCTGATAATTTTTCTGCTGATAATTTTATTTGTATTATAAACCACAAGTAAACATGTTAAAAGTCTACTTACCAAAAGAAAAAATGACAAGGAAACATAAAAAATGTTCAGCCTCACTTGTTATCAGAGAGCTGCAAATTCAAAAAAATAGACATCATTATTTGCCTCTCAGTTGGACAAAGATTTTTTTTTTTAATTCATTATATATAGAGTTGTGATTGTAATACTGCTGGTGGGAAATTAAATTGCTACAAATTTTCTGGAGGGCAGTTTGGCATTATGTATATCGAACCAACAGTTCCTTTTGTAGACCTTCATAATGAAGAAGTAATTGGACAGTAATAAGCAGATATGCATGCAAGGATATTCATTAGAGATTTAATATTAATGAAAAATGGAAATAAATATAAATGCCCATTAATAGAGTATTAGGTAAATTTATAACCTCTATATATGATTTTATATGATAGATTTATGTTTATTGTTATAGAAAGGTGTCTACGATGTAATAAATTTTACAAAGCAGCATGTATAATATCCCATATTATGGTGCAACAAAGAAATATATATAACAATTTTAAAAACAGTTTTTAAGTACATATCTTTTGAGGTTATCTTTTCATATGTATTCATAAATCACACTGATACATATAAAAACCTAGTAGGATATACCTCAGCATATTAATTAACAATGGTCATTTCTGAGTGACATGATTTTTTCTTTATGCTTTATGCTTTGTGTTTAATTTTTTTTTACTGTGAGCACTGTATTACTTTGATAACCACAAAAAATAAGTTAATTATATTGAAGCATGATATACGTAGCAAAAAGTACATATAAGTGTACAAGTAACTGAACTCTCACAAAGTGAACACATCTGTACTCAATGAACAGAACAACACCTGTGCTGTAGAAGTTGTCCTCATGTCCTCCTTCCCCAGGGGTGACCCTATCCTGCCTATAAAGAAATCACATAGCATGTACTCTTCTGTGTCTGGCCCCTTTCACTCAACATTGTTTATAAAATTTATCTTATTATAGTGTATAGTTGTAGGTCATTCATGCTCTGTATAGTATTCCACTGTGTGACTCTAAAATAATTCCCTTTTCTGTCTGCTGTGTGATGAGTATTTGAATAGTTTCCAGTTTGGGGCTATTACAAATGCTACTGCTCTGAATTCTCTTAGTGCATACATATCATGTGATTAACATATGTGTCCATTTTTGCTTGGTATATAGCTAGGAAAGAATTGTGAGGCCACTGGATGTACATATGTTCAGTATTAGTAGTTACTGCCAACAGTGTTTCAAGTAGTTGTACCAATTTACATACCCACTGGCAGTATATATGAGTTCTTCCCGTTTCATATAAAGTTATTTTTTTAATTATGATTACAATTTCAATAACTTTTCTAAGCAAAAGCAATAAGTGATCTATAGACTTTTTAAAAATGTTAACTACTCTGATAAAAAAGTTTTGTAGTTTTCTATTTTAGGCAAGCTCCATCGTACCTATCACATGTAGTTTTAATATTCAGTAAATGCATCTAATTTAATATTGTTAAAAAAAAAACAGAGAAGTACCATGGGTGCTTAATTGGTTAAACTAAATTTCTAGGAGAAAAACAAAATTGGCTGTTTTTTTTTGGATTGGTATATTGAAATACTAGTCTGAGAGTGTCATGGTTATTTTAGTTTTTATCCCTAGAAAGTTAATGCAGTTAAGGAACTTATAGTATAACTTATTAAATCATAAAACAGTTTAATAATGGTATGAATTTAAGACTGTGGTAATTAGTGAAAATACCCGAGAGTTTTTGTATTTTTAAATTTAAAATATCAGATAACATTTGGAATGACAATTACCTTTTAGGTGATGTGGCAGTGAAGATGTTGAATGTGACAGCACCCACACCTCAGCAGTTACAGGCCTTCAAAAATGAAGTAGGAGTACTCAGGTGAGTTTGTGTGCATTATTGTTTTCCAGAGAAGTTATCTTCATTAGCTCCTGTTTTCCAGAAGTAGCTCCTGTTAGCTCTACAGACTTACTTAAAATGGATAAAACAGAGTTTGAGTATATTTTGTCTTTTGCCATATTCTTGTAAGTGGTATACAATATTATATTGTACAGCTGATAGAAGAACTAAGCCTAGAGTGAATTAATGAAAATGTAGTATGCGATTATGAGAAATAATGCTTCCAAATATGAAAATAATACTTGGAAAATTGTAATTTTATCAGAGCACATTTAGAGATTATGTCATGCTCTGGAACTTGAAGAACACCAACAATTAAAGTATGTCCAGGCAAGGACAACTTGTATGAGGAGGATTTTAAACCTGTGACTCAGGAAAAGTGGTGGACAGAAGTGAGGATACTTGGCCCACAGGAGGCTGTTTTGGTCCAGAGGGGACACACTTACCCTCGTTTGTTCCAGAGAGCAAGACAGGGAACCAGTGGTGGAAATTGTAGGAAAATGATTTTTTTTCTCAACCCCAAAAAACTTTCTAATACTAGAACCACTTAAAAAAAAAAATGGTGGGAAATAGTCTTCAGTCTCAGTAATAAACTTCCCATAATTGAAGATATTTAAGCAACCTCAGGTATATTAAAAAAGATATTTCTGAAAAAAGTAAAATGTTAGACTAGAAATTTACTAAAGTCCCTTCTAAATTTATCCTTCTGTTGCCTTTTTTTAACCTTTTTCTGGCAACATCTTACTGATAAGTAGACTGCTTCTGTCTCTTTTTTAATATATGCTGAAGTACATCGATGTTTACTGTTTACTGTCACATTTTACAGGAAAACGCGACATGTGAATATCCTACTCTTCATGGGCTATTCAACAAAGCCACAGCTGGCTATTGTTACCCAGTGGTGTGAGGGCTCCAGCTTATATCACCACCTCCACATCATTGAGACCAAATTTGAGATGATCAAACTTATAGATATTGCACGGCAGACTGCACAGGGCATGGAGTAAGTTCCATTCTGTTAAATCTTGTGTAAATTATTGTTGAAGACCATTGAGGGTGTTTTAAAGATTTTAGCTTTAGAATTGCCTTGTAAATTCTTGTTCAGCAACATATGGCTGCTTTTAACGAATAGCCAACAATAGGATACTTAGAAATAAAATAGTCTCTCTCTACTACAGTCTTGAAGACTATATGTAAAATATTGATAACAAATATGACCGCAAATTTATGTTTTACATGCAGTGATTTAGCTAATAAGCAATATAGGTTAAGAAAACAAAGAGAGGCAAGCAAAAAAATACTAGTCATTAACTGAAGTATATAAAATAAATATTAATTATCCTTTCAGATTATTTTCTCCAAGTGCCCATATTTTCGATTGCAAAATGCTCATCTACATGAAATAAAGTAAAATGAAAATCTGCATTCTGATCCTTTTTGAGAATTTCAAGTTGAGTTGTTCATACCCATTGAATTTTGCTGTGTAATTTAAAAGATATAAAGTAACTTTATAAAGTTTACCATAGGCCAAAATAGGAAACTGACCTCGAAGAATAAATTTTTGCATGCAGTTCTTAACTACAAATGAATAGGTAAAGCAAAAGGTAAAATTAAGTAAGTTTTGAAAGTGCTTAGATAAAAATTTTGAGTAAAATATATTTGAAAGCTCTATGGGTAGTTTAAAAATATGTGTATCTTAATTTAACATTTTATAGTACACAGTTGTCTTTCAAATGTATAGGTCATTATGTCACTATAATGTTATGAAGTAGGTATTTTTTCTTTTTACGGATAAGGAAACCAAGACTTTTAAATGACTTGTCTAAGACTACATATTTAATAAGTGGCAACAAAAATGTTTAACTCAGAATTTCTGCTTCCCAAGCCATTATCTTTTCCCATAATCACTATGATACTTTCACATTATAACATTAGATTAAAAGGGTGTATATGTACTAACATCTAGAACTCTGATGCAAGATCACTTAACAGTAAGTACGCGTAGAACCAGGACTCAAAACCAGATCTGGCTCTAAAATCTTCTCACTGTTTTATCCTCTCTGTCTCAAAACTAAGCAATATATCTGTAATTTAGATTGCTTGCAAGTCTTTGTTCAGCCAAAATGCTTATTGCAGCAAATTATTATCTTAACAATAACATTTCCATTTATCCACTGGACTCAAAATAATCTCAGCCTTTCATATAAATTAGAATCTGAGTCTGTTCAAATCTGAAGGGTTATACCAGAATCTTGTGAAGAGTAAACCATGGCAAAAATAGTAAACAAGGAGCAAGAAACAAAGCTTTTTCTGCTCCCCTCCACCAAGCGTGCTCCCTCCTCAAGGGCTCTGCACTTGTTATTTTCTCTTTGGGATACTCACACCACAGATCTCCATAGAGCTGCTCCCTATATCTCTGTTCAGATGTCACCTTTTAAAAGAAGCTGATCACCTTATATTCTAACTAATATCCCTACCCAACCCTGTCACTCTCTATAGCCCTGTCTTTGTTTTCGTTTTTAATATACCAGGCTCCATTTGACATATTTATTGCCTGTCCCTCCCACTAGAATACAAGCTTTATGAGAGCAATGTTTTGTTCATTGTTTTATCCCTACTGCCTAGAACAGGGTCTGGCCTATGATAGGTACTCAATACATATCTGTGAAATGAAAAAATGAAGGATTACACACAACTGAGTATTACTACTCCCTTTCAGAAAAAAGAGAAGCCAGATCCTTCTCATACTAAGACAGAAATGTCAAGGAAAAGAAAAACAGTCAACAAAGTAATAAAAGGATAATAGAGGAGGAAAGGCTTTTGCTCTAAACAGAGGCAGCAAAGAATAGTAATAAAAATATTTTTAGAAACAATGCCAGTATTAAGACAAGAAACAACAGTAGAAAAGAATGCTATCAAATTGGAATAGTTCTGGAATCTGGGGGACAGTCAGTGAAGAGGCAATATTTTTCCATTGTTTTACAGTTTGGGATCTATAATTGTAAACCTTTATAGTATTTATGTACTCTGAAATACTTTGCTTACATTTTTAAGTAATGCTCACTGTATAATGAGTATATCTGGCTGTGAATGTAGATCATGGCTATGTATGTATGGTGGTTACCAGAGGAGAAGGGGGTGGGGAAGGACAAAGTGGGTAAAGAAGGTCAAACACAGGTGGCGGACGGAGACTGGACTTAGAGTGGTGAGTACACAGTAGAATGTGCAGATGTTGTATTATAAAGTCATACACCTGAAATTTATGTAATGTTATTAACCAGTGTTACCTCAATAAATTTAATTTTTTAAAAAAAGAACTGGCTTACCACTTCAATCAGATGGCATATTAACAGATGCGAGAAAGCAGAAAAGCTGAACCTCTTTTTTACAGACATTTATATCCTACAGAATCTGAAGATTATTTTTTCAGTTCCTATATATCATTCTAGAACATTTCTATGATTTCTGGTAGTCAGAGTTATGTCTGTAAATGAGATATATCACCTATTAGTATGCTCCAATAAATTTAATTTTTAATTTAATTAATTTAAAAAAATAGAAAATAGTTCCATTTCCATAGTATCCAAAAGAGTGAAATAAGGAATAAGTTTAACCAAGGAGATAAAATATCATACTCTGAAAAGTACAAAACATTGCTAAAAGAAATTAAAGAAAAAACAACTGGGGTTTGGGGTAATAAAAAATTTTGCATAGGTGGTGGAGGGGGGTGCACAATATTATGAATGTATTAATGCCACTGAATTGTACACTTAAAAATGTTTTAAATGGCCAATTTTATGTCATATGTATTTTATAACAATAAAGTTAAAAACAAAGTAAAAATAAATAAAATAGCTATGTGGGCTACAGGTAAGGTGACACATTTTTGCTATCTTTGAAACTCCACTAAAACTATAATAAAGGAATTTTTTTAAGCACGAACATATGAGGACGGAGAAAACAGAGAGGAAGGAAACAATAGCAACAACATTTAAAAGCTAGAAAGCAGATGGGGAAGTGATAATGGACTTAGACCAGAAAAGCTATGTTATTAGTTTGCAATGGGGAAATGAAAACCAACCTGATTTATACCACAGAATCCTCAAGTCTCAGAAACTGGCAGTACCAGGTGCCTCCAGGAAAGGGAGGGTACACAGACGAAGAGTCTTGTCTAAAAAGCTTCTCAAAATCTCATCTGCTCTGTGCCACTGGGTGACTGCTCCATCTGTACCCTGGCAGTAGACTGGAAGTTTATTCTCTGGAGAGGGGAAAACAAATATCTCTGGACTGGGGACGTGGACGTGGACACTTTACCAAAAACAGGAGGGTTGAATGACTGCTCACTGAATGATGAATGGAGAGTTCCCCAGCACTGTTCTTTTTATTTGGTTCCCAGAATGCTAGCAGCCAAACCTTCCCCTTCACACAAGGGATTGGAAGAGTCTTCTGTGAAGAATCTTACCAGCCAAGAGGAAGGACCCAAAGGTAGTGATATCAGAGATTCCACCTATATCACTGTGCAGGGAAGTTCAAAAACACGAAGCCCATCTGTATGCCAAAGCTTTCAGACAGCTTTTAGTCTCTCTCTCAATCTGAGGAAGACAAGTTATCTTGTAGCTTACCAGACATCAGAAGGAAAGTCTCTGATGCCAATGAGAGAGACCAAACCAATGAGGTTGGGGGAAGGCAACCAGGAATAAACAAACACGAAGAGATACTCATCTCCCCAAAAAAAACCCATCAGTTTCCTCAGCGATAAAAGATGATTTTCTATCCACGAAACAGATGCTTTAAAAGAGATTTGTGATAAAAGAATGTTCAAATATTAATATATATACTGGAAATGACATCCTTTGTAGTTATTAAAACTTAAATGTCTGGTTCCTCCTCCCCTGTCCTCCACCGTCATTTCACAAAGGACAGAACAAGTTAGATGTGGCTGAGCAGTAGAAAGTCCATAGACTATTTACTACGGCCATGTCACCCTGAACAAGCCCGATCCCGTCTGATCTCGGAAGCTAAGCAAGATTAGTACTTGGATAGGAGACCTCCTAGGAAGACCAGGTACTGTAGGTGTAAAAAATAAAAATAAGGGATTTGCAAACTGACAATGTCCTTGCAATTTATGAGGTCAACCCAGGGTTGCTTTGCCTAAAAAAAAAAAAAAAGTCCATAGACTATTATTTAAATGGCCATTAATAATGTACTTTTGCAAAACCCTCATTTCAAAATAGTTTGCCCCCTGAATGTTTTCCAGATGCTGTTGAAGGTAACCTTTTCTGACTACTTTCCAAAATTTATTCTAAAGTCCCAGGGCATAAGCAAAATAAGAGCATATTAACTCATTGTATAAAGTGCTGGGGTTGCAGTCACTCATAAAACCTTTAGTAATTTGGAAAGTTAAATCATTAGAACTTTCAAATGCGCCTTTATCAGATTACAGAATTTAAGCAGATGGTAGATGGGTAACATTTTCCTGTGTAGTTCTGTCTTCTTTCCCTCAGTGAAAGATCATTTCTGATTCCTAGATTTACCTGAAGAGAGCAGAGCCGTTTAATGGTAGATAATTACAGACTTACTCTTAGGAATCGAGGTTAGTGTAATATGTTTATCATCATCTTACCTGATAGTCATTGATTCAGCCTAAGGACCACGGTATTTCAAGAATATTGTTCCTAAAGACATTTCAAGAATGGTCAAATTTATCGTGCCATTTCTTGGCAGGGCTTTTAATGTCAGTATAATATTTATGGTATAATTTTTAATTTGTCTTTATTAGAAAATTTACTAAATGTTAAGGAGCTACAAAGAGTAAGTTGTGGTCTGTTATACACACAGAAGTGTTATAGTCTGAATATAAGATGATTAAAAATAATTTAGGGACAAATCCTCACAATTTACTTTTGTTTAAATAATGAAGAGTATGCCCCATTTACTCATAAATAAACCTACTTAAAAGAAAGGGTGAATTGAAGCTAAAAATGTGAACACATATTAATGATT